CGCCTGCTCTGTGCCAGGTGGGGAGCAGGAACCTTGGAATGGGCTCCAGGTTTAGTAGCAGAGGCTTCTGTGTAAACGGATAAATAACAGCGCAGGGTAATGGGAGCCGGGCTGGTGCTACATGTAGGAAGCACAGCTGGAGGCCAAAGAAAGGAATTCTGTTTGTAGTGGAGGGGCTGGGGGAGGGGACACCTGTGATAAAAGGCTCGGTGAGGGGTGTGGGGGGGGGGGGGGGGTGGTATGGCTGAATGTCTTGAGGGTAGAAGATACTAGGAGAGCAGAAGGCGGAGAACATTTAGGCAACAGGAGTGGCAAGAGTAAACCGCGTGCCCCTGCGGGGGCTGGCATGTGGACCACTGGGGACAGGAGGGTAGGGAGTGGAGGGACCCTCTCTGCCACTTTAGTGGGGTCACTTCTCTCGCGAGACTTCAGTTTCCTCCCTGGAACAGTGAAGGATGAACAGAAATGTTCATTTTGCTCTTGTAGTAAAACCCTTTGTTCAAATGAAGCCAGCTGGGAGACCCAAGGCATACATGAGGAGAGAGAGAATTTGTTTTCTGAACAGGAAACAGATCTGCCATTGTCTGGAAACACCTTTTGGAAAATCCGAAGATCGGAGTGAGGGGGCAGATTCTCACCCCCGCCCACCCGCACCCTATCCCTCCACCCCCTGCCCCGGGGTCTGAGTTTGCACCAGCACTTAAGCTGCTTTGTCTGGGAGAGGAGGTAGTTCTCCGGGGTGCGGAGCTGGGGAGGAGCGGAGCCCCGGCAGGCCGGGTGTGGCGGGGGGGGGGGGGGGGGGGGGGCAGGGGCGCGCTGCACTCTGACCACCCCCCAACCCCACCAAGCTCCATTCGCCACTTTTTTATTTAAAAAAAATTTTTTTATTGGGGCGCCTGGGTAGTAGCTCAGTCGGTTAAGCGTCTGCCTTCAGCTCAGGTCATGACCCCAGGGTGCTGGGATCGAGCCCCGTACCGGCTCCCTGCTCATCCGGGAGCCTGCTTCTCCCTCTCCCTCTGCCGCTCCCCCTCCTCGTGCTCTCTCTCTCTCAAATAAAATCATAAAATCTTTAAAAAATATAGTTTATTTATTTTTTTGAGAGAGCGATCGAGCGAAGGACAGAGGGGGAGGGAGAGGGACAAGCGGACTCCGCGGGAGCCCGAGGCGGGCTCGATCCCGCAGCCGGAGATCACGACCTGGGCGAAACCACGAGTCCTACCTCAACCGACTGAGCCACACAGGCGCCCCTCCATTCTCCACTTTAAAAAAAAGGCAAAACCCCTCCATGGCTCCCCTCACCATCAGGAGGAATCCAAACTCCTGACCATCGCCTCCCAGGCCCTGCACCGTCTGCCCCCTGACCTCCCCTCTCCCTGGCTTCCACACTTACCACCACCCTGACCTCCCCTCCCCTGGCTTCCACACTTACCACAGCCCCCCCCCCCCCCCCCC